TCTCCTTCCTTCAACCTTCGTTGTTTTTTTTTTTTTTTACCTTTGCCTTTTGGAAATCAGATTTAGAAAGGCGAACCCAAGGGCCTAGGTTTGCGAGGAACCCAAGAGCTTGGGTTCGAGACACCCAGGTGTTGAGTTCATCTCAAACCCAAGCCCCTAAGTTCCTCACGTGTTACTGTGTTGCTATCATCAGGTTCGTTGCAAACACAGGCCCTTGGGTTCCTCACAAATGCAGGTGCCTTGGTTTCTCGCGTGTTGCTGTATTACTATCATTTTTTTGTTTAGTTTTTTATTATCTGAAATTGTCCGCGAAACCCTGATCTGTTTTGTTGTGTTGTTATAATTTTTTTATTTAGATATTTGATTATGTGAAATTGTTGATCTGGTATTTGTTTTTTCTTAATTTGGGATATCTACATGGGAAAAGATTGAATGATGTACAAGGAGGGTTAAGATCAATTTTGAAATTTTAGTTGTTATAAATTATATATTATGTTTAATATTTACGTGGGATGCCACATCATCATTTTTTATTTTTATATTTTCTATGTCATTTATATAAAGAAAATAAATTAGACAATTCTGTTAACTAACATGTTATATTAGTTAAAATTTAATGAATAGACTAAAAAGGAGTCAAATTTCAAACTTTAAAAACCAAAAAAGGAGATTTTTTCAGTATAAAAACTAAAAAATGACTATTTCAGTATAAAAACTAAAAAATGATTTTTTTTTTTAATAATAAAGGGACCAAAAAAAATATCTAACTAAAGGTAAAGAACCAATAAACATTGTCATGTATATTTACTAAATGCCACGGATTTCTACGATGTCTAATAAATTCTACCTACCATTAGATTTAAACCAATGATGGCCATTGTATGAAAATAATATACTAACCACTAAGTTAAGTAGGTAATTTATCATCGTAAAAAAAAAAATCAAAGGAACCTATTACATCAATGGATTATAAATGCAATAATATTTTGAAACAATACTACGCAAATGGACCAAAGTGATGAGATAGAATGCTAAACCATCTAATATTCATCTTGACAAGAAATTCTACATAATATGATAAAATATGTATCACAAATATAAGGGTTATAGCTCAGTTGGTAGAGCAACTCGTTTACATGTGCGCCAATGTTTTTCAAAGAAGTCTATTATGCAATCAAAAGAATTGATACTTTTGAGAAATCAACGTCTTACCCCATTACTTTTAGGAAACAAAACAGGAGAACAATAGCCTAAAAATGACAAAAGGTTCAATCCAATTCAAGTGCTACTTAACTAACGGAATGTGTAACTTTATAGGATATACCATTATTCATATTATTTTGTTTAATATTAATTCCAGGCTTTTGATTAATTTACTTAATCCTATTAAATTGTAGAGATGACATGTCCTAACACTGTTTTTGATACCATTCCAGAAGGATTTCTTCTTCAAATGCACTTGAACTTAGAAGTTATTTCTTTCAATCTCTCTGTTTGCTGAATGCTTCCTTGAACTCCATTTTGCTTCTGTTTTTTTTTTTTTTAAGCAAGCATTAATTTTAAAAATGGATACAACAAAATCTTTTAGTACCTCAAATCCTTGGAGTTGTTCTCGAAAATGTTCTAGTGGCCAAAAAAAAAGGGGGGTTTTGAAATGTCCCAAAATCTTTACCTTGTTCAAATTGTACCCCCGAATCTCTTAATCACATGTTGTGGAGTCATGCTCCTAGAACAACTTTGTTCTAAATATAGAAGATGGGCTGAGTGCAGTTTTTTTCTTTTTTTCTTTTTTTAATACTTACAACATTTTGAAAAATGAAATAAAATGCTAAAGTAAGATAATTCTAGTAAGTTGTAAAATAGAATTTTGTCAATTTCAATGGTAATGAGTAACAATAATGACATTACCAAATGAAATTGACATTACTGAATGAAATTAAGAGATTCAACACATAACTGGAGGGGAAATAAAGGTTGGGGTAGTTTCTAGTACCAACCTAAAGGTTTGGGGGGTAAAATTCATTAACCCTTTTTAAAAAAGAAAGCTATACAGGAAACCCAATCCACTCATGCAACTCTCAATTGATTCAACCCAAAATGAAAAATGAGTTCAGGCTTAGCCCAAATGTGGCCCAATCAAAGTCCATCCGTAATTCCGGCCTGAAGCGGTAAATTAAAAATCTGTATTCCTTTGTATGGCTATGGCGTTCGGGAAGGAGGAGACTCGTTGATGGTAAAGTGATGGCGGAAACCGACGGCTGCCGGAGCAGCAGCGATTGCTCCTTTGTATGGGACGAACAAAGTCAGCTTTACTTCCATGCTAGGTCTGTTTACACAATCCGATTCTTAAATTTTACTGTTATTCAAATTCAAATATACTGAAATCAATCTTGGAATCCTTCCAGTTTTCTGTTCTTCGGAGAAAATACAATCAATTCATTGCCAGAAAATGAAATATAATTTTGCAAAATTTTCTTTAGGCGTTAAAAAAAAACCCAAAATTTAGAGAATTTCCGAGAATTTAGATTTATTTTCTAGTAAAAATTTAAGAAGAAAATTTGAAGTTTTTTATGCTTCTTTCCTGGCTATTATTAATGTTGAATGTGTTAGGATAATAAGGAATAGAGTTTTGAAAAAATTTGGGTTAATGCTCATAACATAACCCATTAATAATGCTCTTTTTGTTAGCAGCAGTCGATTTTACCATGGTCCTAATACTGGTTGTGCTTATATTATGTTTGCAGTACTGGATTTTATCATGATCCTAATGCTGGTTGGTATTATAGCTCGAGAGATGGTCTTTATTACAAATTTGAAAATGGGAATTATGTGCTTTTGGACTATGACAAGGTAGTACTTTGCATTTTGTACATTCCTTTTGATTAAAGACTGATGGGTGGGTGATCCTAATTCCTACCTTTTGGTGTTGCACTGTTTTAGGTTAATGAGAGTCAAATGCAAGTGCAGGAAGGAACTGTCATTGAGAATCCTATGGAAGAAGAACTATCTACAAATATGTATTGTGAAAGCAAGGAGTGTCCATCTTCATTTCCCATGGAGGAACCTGGAATTCATGAACATGTAAGAAATGTTGCGGATGAACCTACTGCAGGCAGTACGTATTCAAGCCATGTACCCTTCCTGCACTGGATTCCTTTTTGCTTTGGTTTCTTTGGTTTATTAATATTACCTTTAAGAAGTAGGTGACATGGTGGGAACTGGAGATCAGGTGCATGAAAATCTGGAGCCAACATCAGAATGGTATGCTACTTCTGGAACTGTATATCAATAGCCTTGATACTATTTGGTTTGATACTATTTGGTTCTTACTTATATCTATGCTAACTTGAGGTTTCTACTGGAACCAGGTTAGAGGATATGCTAATTGATCTTTATCTCTCTGGCTATAACCAAGTTGGCAATGCTGCTGCTGATGCAGCTTTGTCTTTGGGCACGGATGACATAGATAACTATAAGTTATCAACTGATGGTGTGTCACATTCTTTTTGTGAATTTTGGGAACAAGTTGTCAATTTTAGGTTACAGCCTAAATATTTTAATTTTTTGAGGTCAGGAAGTGATGATTCTGAAGAGCTGGAAGAGGGTGAATGGATCCCAGAAGAAGATTATTATGGTGTGGCTGATTCAAGTGAGAAAGTCTCAAATGAAGGTTTTGCCACAGTATTTCTATAACTAGTTGATTGATGAATATCTACTTTGTTCAACATTTGATTAAGTTTGTCAATGAATTTACCACTTACAATTGTCTTTTCACAATGGCAGTAGCCTTATTGCAGCTTAAACCTGTGAACTTCAGAAACCAATCAAATTACTGTTGTGTTGGTTACCCACCAAATTTCATATCTAAACTGGGACACACTTGGCAATTGGTCTTATTTATGCAGATGTTGCATGGGATGAAGAAAGCTGGCGTGCACAGTATGGCCAAGTCACAAGGTCTGGTGAAGAGCCAGAGCCAGAGCCAGAATTTCCAGTTGTGGATTTATGGGACTGGGCAATGGTGACAGGGCTAAGGAAGGATGGCAAAAGTCATGTTGCCAGGCTGGTAGGCCGCCTGGTAAAACAATCTGCTAAGGTTCACCCCTCTATGCCTCCTGGTGGCAGTCTACTAAAAACCGCTCCAATATGTGAAGTGAGTCTTGATCTGGTACGAGTTACTACAGGTTTGCATGCTTTATCTAAAGCATACTCTATCTGTTGCTGGTTTCCAGCATCCAGGGGGTGATATTAAGACTTAATATGCCTTCTCCTTTTCCTATTCTTTCAGGGCAAGTGTATAAGTTGAGGAATCCCAGTTCAAAATATTTGGCTTCATTGTCAAGTTATGATTCTTCTGACCCCACAAAAGATTGGGGCTTCCCTGAGTTATCAATTAACACTAAATTTTCTCTCAAGTCAAACTCCTGCCAAAATATTAAGCCAAAAACATCTGGTGAAGTGGGTGGCTTAAATGACCTGTCTTTGTTGCCAGCTCAGCACTCTGCATCTTTGAAGGTAAATTAAGCACTACAGAAACTTGGAATTGGATTGAAATTTAGCATACATTCCACATTTTTATGCTCTTAGCCTACCACCCTTATTTGATTTTTGAAGGTGTATCGGTACCAAGGATAGAGGTCATTTAAAGATATAACAATGGATGCAATATTTCCTGTATAGCCCAATAATTTGGTGCCAGTTTATACTGACTTTTAGATGTAATTCTGTATTAGTAGGTATCAGTCACTGTTGTGTATAGAATTGTTTGAACAGAAACAAAATCAATTTCTAAAGCAATGCACAATAACTTGGAGATGGTTTTAGATATGACAATCTTAATTGATGAATACAATGGTATCATTAACATTACTTCACCTGCCAACCTGTGGACATTCTATCCTTAAATAAGGTTGAGTTCAGAGTATTAGTTTGGGACCCATAAGTAAAGTACTTGTACTAGTATGCATGTCTGCAGATGATGTTTATTGTCTGCTAATTTTACTTAGAATAGCGATAGAACTCCCCAAGAGTTCTCTTTGTAATTTTTCAGTATCATAAGACTCACACGTCTCTTTGCGACTTGCATAATTTTGTTGTCAATACTCAACCCTTGTTTCCTTTGTCTCTTGGTGCAAATCCAGCACACAACCCATGCATATAGGGATAGAGCTGCTGAGAGAAGAAAGCTGCATGGTGGTTTTGGTGTGGGTCCTGGACAAAAGAGTGTGGGGATTGTTCATGATAATGGTGATGATCCAACTTGTGCGGAGGATGCTGCAGCTGAAGCCTTGAACATGTCATTTGGAGCTGGTAGTCATGCCAGAAAAATTATGGAAAGCATGGGCTGGAAGGAGGTAAAAGAATATATTATAAATCTTCCTCTTTTATTTTTCAAGTTGGCTCAAAACTCTTCTTTATAATAGATTCAAGGACTTGGTTTGCTCGTCTCTTTGTTATATGCATCTGAAAGCAGTGAATGGATTGCTTTCTGGTTTATTCATGAGAAAAGGATGTTTAATTTTGCTATCTACCGAGAAAATGGATGGTTTTCACTCTCCAATTTGACCATTTGCCTTCAGCCATATCAGTGTACCTCACTTTGTCACTAGTTTCCTTCCATTTGAAATTGAGCAGGGAGAGGCACTTGGTAGCACAAGAAAGGGCTTGAAGCATCCATTGCAACCAGTTGGCAACATTGGCAATGCTGGACTGGGATGGCCTCAAACAAAGCGCCGTTGAGATCGTTAGAAGTTATCTGATATTTGAGGACAAAAGGAAATATTTCATATTTGTGATATACTAGGTTTCTGTAAAATTCCTGACAAAATGCTTCTGTCAAAACGTCAAACAATTTGAAACAAAAGTTCTTCTCTTAAACTTCATTTATTTTATTTTTAGTTAAAAAAATGTTGTCTCCAAAATCTTCTCTTTCCGGCCACGCGACAGTTAAAATTGCAAAAACATGTCACTCACTTTACTCAAAGTGAGAAAGAGGGATTCTCGGTGATCTTCACCATTTTTAAGCGTGAAACTCAATTATGAGTTGATAGAAGAGCACCGATTAAATAAATTATAAGATGTGCTCTAGTTAAATGATTGTTACGAGGCACATTCCTACATCAAACTTCTCATAATTAGACTCAAAATGTTAATTTGATGATCAAAATAAAAGAGAAAAAAAAAAAAAAAGGGAAAAGAGAAGAAAGAGAGTACTATGCAAAAACCTAAATTGCAGGGAAGAAGTTTAATGCTGCTATGAATGCATGAAAACGTAAAAAATGAAATAAAAGCTAAAGTATAAAACTAAACTTAAAAGAAGTTAGGAAGATGAATTTAGAGTAAAGTATAGTAAATTAAATTATAAGAAATCAAATACTTCAATAAAGATATTCAAAACAAAATGACAAAAACTAAAGTTAAAACTAGTAGCAACTTAAAGCTAAGGACTAAATTAGAAAAGTTATCTGAGAAAGTTAAATTTAAACTAAGATATTATTTGTAAAATTAAAATATAAATAGTACTAGATTAGTTGTATGTGAGATAGATCTTACCTGTTTTGTCTCATTATCAAGTATTTATAACACCTTAACAGCATGATCCAATTTTGTTGGTAGCATTTTGGAAACCAACAACAGTGTGAAATCTTCAACATCCTCCTGAATCAATGATGGTAAGGTGTAAGGTGTAAGGTGTAAAGTTGCAACAAAATCCTGAAAATTAACGGCAACATACGAAAGTTTTGCAACAAACCAACTAAAATATTAAATACGTGGTAACAACTATTCAAGTTGATCTAAAGATAAAACTATAGCTGTTAACTTTGACTCCTTCAAATTTAAAACAAATGGGACACATGGCTTTTTTTAATTAATTTACAAAAATTGATGTAAAAAAAATCATTTATTTTGTAACAGAGGAAGTGAGGCTTAACTGTACCCTAGAAAAGCCCTACTATTATTATCAAAATTGAAATATGATTTTTCTAAACAATATAATAATTACACACTTTTATAATTAATTTATGAAAATAGTATATATTAATCTTAACTTGTAAAACAAATTAAAGTTTTAATGTTATTTTATTTAATTAAAATTCATGTTAGACTTGCAAACTACAATTAAAAACAGATTAGGCTGATAAACTACAGTTAATAACAGTAGAGATCATGTTAAGCAAAATAGACCACTGAGAAACTAAATATCACTAATTAGTCAAGTTTTCTACATCCCACAGAATCATGTAATCATATCAAATGGTTGCAAAACATGTGCATAAAGCCTAATAACATGAAATTCATGCTTCCTTCTTGTATTAAGGACATGAAACCATACA